AATTAAAAAAAAAAATAAATATTTTTATTCGAAATATAAATGTTCTATTTCGAAAATGTTGATGAAATTAATATATTCAAGATACAAAGAGGAGGGAAGAAATGAAATTTGTAGACTGACGATAATATCTATGCGGTATCAATCCCAGTACTGTATCTATATGTATACAGCTGTTGAAGCGTAATACGATATGTTGGTTTGGCGCGCTCAAACATTTTCCACGTATCTCGTTCTTTTGAACGCGATTCAAGTTCAATCAAACCTTGAATACTGTACAAAGAATACTGATCTAAACGTGAGATAACGAGAGCTGTTTACGGACGAATTAAAGTAATGTCGCGGTTCATATAGTCGCAGGTATACGCCGAGACCGAAACACATGGCCTTATCTAATGCATTGTTTGCGTAAGCGATTTAATTTTACTTCGCGAAGAAAGCGAGTACGATGTAGAAAATGAAGTATAAAATTCCGATATAATTTTATTACCGAAATCGTTACGATAATAATGCGTCTGATGCAACAGTCATATGCCCATACAATAAAAGATAATAAATCGAAAAACAATGTTTTGTTCAGAGCCAAATGTTTTTCATGGTAAGAACAATCTCTCTGATAAGCAATTATATTATTTGCAAAATTCGGTTTACTATAATCATCATTCGCATATACCTTGGACGTATTAGGTTGTTGAGCTATGCTTCTACTTTTTGTCATCCAAGAATGATGTAACTTGATGTCATCACTTATAACATACAAATTTATAAGGATGTAGATATAATGTAGGATTTTTATTAATAATGTGGAAGGATGTTATGAGGTTTTTTTATAATTTCAATAGTTACCTTTAAAGTAATTTGTTCTTATTGTATGACATAGAAATAGATATTTTGTATAAATTATTATGTTATACCTACAGATATGGAGTCGTTCTTGGAATTGTTTGACCCAGATAGTCACACGAATGTGAGAAAAGATACATGGAATGACTCTGAAAATGAAGGAAATGGAATGTCGGATTGTGAGAATTCAAGCACTGACGACGACCAAGAAGAAAGACTACCACCAGAGCCAGAACAAGGCAATGTTGAGTACAAATTAAAGTTAATCAATCCATCTAGTCAACGGTTCGAACATTTAGTAACACAGATGAAATGGAGACTTAGAGAGGGTCATGGGGAAGCTATTTACCAAATCGGTACAAATCAATTTATCTTTGTAAACTTAAAATATGAATTGCCTGTGTATTATATTAATTTTTCTTTTTTTCCTTTATGATTAGGTGTGGAAGATAATGGAAGACTAACAGGTTTAACAAGAGAGGACATGAAAGCATCCTTGAAAACATTAAATGATATGGCAGCTAGACTAGGTGCAACAACAACTATATTGCGTGAAAGGCTTGCCAATTCTAAAAATAAAGATATATCCACACACAGTAACAATAAAGAAGAAAAGCGAGTAGCAGAGATTTTGGTGAAAAAATTAAGGAAAGGAGACAGGGAGGATCAGGATAGTATTGTCGATCTGAGACTTGCTGTGACTGGTGCACAGGATGCTGGGAAGTCAACTCTCTTAGGTGAGAGGATTAGCAGAGGACGTTTAAGGTAGAGAAATATAGAGTTTACTCTGCTATGCTTATCGCTCATTTCATTGATAATGCTACAACCAAGGTATAATTGCTAATATATTCATAATGTACACAGGTGTTTTAACACAAGGTGAACTAGATAATGGTAGGGGAAGAGCAAGGTTAAACATGTTGCGACACCTTCATGAAATAAAAACTGGTCGCACTTCATCGATTTCACATGAAATCATAGGGTTCGATAACGAAGGACATGTACTGAATTACGCGGAAATGGCAACCGCTGAAGAAATATGCGAACACGCTTCAAAAGTCGTAACTTTTATAGATCTTGCTGGACATCGTAAATATTTAAGAACAACGGTTCTAGGTCTTACCGGTATGGTATTTTGATATTAGGTATTATTCCGATGGTAGTAATGAGTCTTATAATGGACTAAATTAACATTTCACTTTATTATCCAGGATACTCACCTCATCACGTCATGCTAGTCGTAGCGCCACCTATGAACGAAGCATCGCAGGAACACATGGCTTTGTGTCTTACTTTGGGACTTCCATTCTTCATAGTTTTAAACAAAATAGACCTCGGTTTTTGTAGTACCGCAGAAACTACAAGTCAGTTGGAGAATGCAATTAGCGCACAAGGTTATTCTAAACAATTAGTAATGTACAACGATAGTCACGTACCATGGGATTATGAGTCGGATGTAATACCAGTGTTCAATGTAAGTTGCGTCACTGGCGAAGGTTTAGAGGATTTGACGAATTTTATTAAGAATTTATCACCTTATGATGTCAACTCGACAGATTCAGAATCTGAATCCTGTTTATTTCAAATCGATGAAACGTTCAGGTTCGTCTACAGATTATCATTCGCAACCTTTACATGGAGGTTTACGTTATATGTTCTGCACTGGAAGTATCTGTTTATTTTTTTCATTATAGGGTAGCAGGTTTAAACGAACCTGTTTTAGGAGGATTGCTCGTAAAAGGAGCGATCGCTCCTGGCACTCGACTGCTGGTAGGACCCCTGCCAGATGGGGAATTCAGTCCTGTCAAGGTCGTTAGTCTGCATCGTAATAAAGCTCCTTGTTGCCTAGTAAGAGCATCTCAGAGTGCCAGTTTAACATTGGCACCGCCAAATAATCGCAGCCCGCCATTACCTCATCTGCGACCGGGAATGGTTTTGGTATCATTGTGGGATCAACCACACGCGACATTATTTTTCCAAGTATGCACAAATGCGTATGTAGCGTGCAAGTAATTCTTCCCGTTCGTGCCTAATTTTAGGTTTCTTTATTTTTAGGCGACTGTGTTAATAGTGTACCACGCGACAGCAATATTCTCTGGTTTCCAAACGACAGTTCATGTAGGAAACGTAAGGCAAACGTGCATCATTAAGGGAATAATGGATGCGAATGATAGAGGTTTGCAGACAAACGACACAGCCTCTGTGCTGTTTAGGTTCGTTAATCACCCAGAATATCTGCATGTCGGTATGCGACTTTTGTTGAGGGAGGGTCGCACCAAGGGCATTGGCAAAATCACGCAGATCTTTCCGTTGATAGGCCAACAAAACAGTATTCAATAAGTCGAACGAAATTTTGCGTGTAAAAAGTATTAAATGTTTTAAGTTGTTTCTGAAACATGAAGCATTCGGTTATTCTAACGTGACATGTCATTAACGTACATACCTAGCGTAAGCATCGTAAAATCATTTACGACTTCTTTGGAACAATCTTTGTACGCGAAGACTTTGCCGTGGTATTTTAAACAAAATATGAAATAGATTTCTTCGATGGGTGTAGAACATGTACATATCATACGTAGTTGTTCGATTTGATTTCGTGTACGGTTCCGTTTCTTTTTCTTGACACAACTGTCAGGAGGATTTAAGAATTTTAAAATACAATGTATTTGGGATTGTTCAAGATAGTAGCACCGTGAAAGATGTTAGACAGTATGTTCGTTTTATTACGGATCTACTGTATAAGATAAACTGCGAAAAAATGTTAAAAAAAGTTTTTGCTTTAAGTATGAAAAAAAGAGACTTGAAAAGAATGTTTATGATTATTACAGATTCGTGTTACGAAATAAATATTGTCTCGATAATGTGATGTTTTGCGTGTAACGCTCTAAACGACAAATTTTGCGTGAGAATTATAAGAAAGTGAAATCCTTAAACAAAAATTAAATATTATACGTTATAAACGAAAGTTTAGAGGTATTAAAATTTGAAATACACAGAATAAATATTTTCATAATCGATTACTGACACGTCGAGTATTACATAGAACAATTTTCAGTTTAGAAATTACCAAAGTTTAAACGATTCTGTGTATTGTCAAACAAAAAAAGTGTTGTTTCTGATAGACGAAGTTACTTAAACACAAGACGGTTGTACTTAAAATTAATTGCGTGAAATTTTTTATATAATTCGACGTTTCATATTCTATAAAAAAATATGTCGAAAGTTTCTGTTATAAATTGTTATACAGCCGTCCAAACGAAGATCTTCAATTTATTTCTGTTGCATTGGATTATAGTCTTTGTATTATAAACTGTAATATATCTTCAATAAAAAAAATTTACATATCCAAACCGAAGTGGATTTGTTATTACATTCTGAATGTTAAAATAAAATTTAATATTTCAGAGTTTTAAAGTTCAATGTAAAGACCATTATGCAATTATAATTACATTTATTATAATCAATTATAAATAATAGTAGATGAACGATACAATTTAATAAATATACAGTCTCGATAATGAATATTATCCTAATAGTTGATATTGTTGTAATGGAAATGAATATAATCTACGCGTTTTAAGCATCAGTACAGTGATTAATACAAAAAAGATGTTTTGAAATCATTTATTCGTCACTTTTATATAAAATTCTTCGAATAACTTAATGTCGACAGTGATTAGCTTATAATGATGCAACATTAAATTGCACATAGGATAACGTTACAGCTTGAAGCAATCAGAAAATACTGTTTTATTAGGAATACAGGTTTTATCTACCATAAATCATTACGATTCAATCGGAATGTTATAGTAGCGCGTATAAAATTTACGGTGGCCACGAATTAAGGGGAAATGATATAAATAAGTCATATACAAACATTCATGCATCTCTCTCTCTCAATCGCAACGCGCTCTCAGCCGGGCAAGGTTTACTCAATCCTCGCACGTAACACTCTTTTAATGGTAATCACCTGCATGCCCAACAGTGTCCATGAAAACAGATGCATACATAAACATGATTGAAGTTACGACAGTAAGCAATGGTGAATAGTATTGATTAAATAATAAAGAAGGTAGCAATAAAAAATCACGATCGAAACGATAAATAACTATCATTCGTTTAATGTTCAATTTGTGATGCCTTTGAATCTCCCATGATAATTACTATTAATATTCAATCATTTAAAACGTATTCGTATACAAAGACCTCCTTGTACAAAAATACTTTCAAATCTGTCTAACACTTTATCTACCACTCCTGATCAAGATAATCACTCATCATTTATCAATACGGTCTTCGTCGTCGCGTTACAGTATACGTTTTGACTTGCAAAACTTTATAATTTCACAATCAAAGTATAAGGAAATATCGCAATGTCGTTCTGATTGCTTCCGTTTCAAACGTGATTTTAATATACTAACTTTCAAAATCAAAAACGCAACTAAGACTTGCGGTAGCTGAAGTGTTGAAAGTGTTTTACACGAGAGGCACCTGCACAAGCTAAAGGACGTTAATGAAATTTCCCAAGGAAGCATTCCCTGGAAATTTCCGGGGTATCCCGGAGAAGTCATTCCGATCGTGATCTCCCGCGGCGTGAGTTTTATGGAGGTGATCGCCTCGTTGAAAGTGTTCTTAACGATTTACGTCACTCAGTAGTTCGGCGTAGGAGCGTTCACCGTTCCCCAGAACAGGATCAGGCCCGTAGGATCGTGTCTGATGAAGAAGACAAACGGCCGGTTCGCCAGGAACCTTTTTTGACTTCCGTCACGCTCGAGTATCACGCCGGTCACGGCCGCGGCCACGGTGCCTTTCTCTGTAATATCGATCTCCACCTTGTGGAGCACATCGGATGCGTACAGATGCGGGTTCACCAGGTTCGGCGTGTTCCTCAGTTCGTCCAAACCGTAGACCGGGAAGTTCTTCTCCTTGACGAAGTTGATGAAGTCTTGATCGATAGGCCTGCTCTGCCTCCTGACCCTCTGTCTCTGGAAACGGTACTTGTTCTCCTCGAGATTTACGATCTTAGCGTCGTTGACCTCGGACCCCTCCACGCTGTAAGAATTCTCGCTCTCTTCGATCTTCTTCGGCTGCATTGGTGTCTTGACCTCGGACTCACGACGCTTCCGGGATTTCTTGATTGAGAACCCGGTGGCCCATTGCTGCACCGTGTAGCCGTGCGACTTGTCCTGGTAAGTGAAGTAGTTTCTTCGCACCACGTGATTGGTCCCCTCTTTATTTATCCTCGAGTTGAATGACACCTGCTGGTACTGGCCCATTTGCGTCGAATGCGTCGTTGGCGATGGCGTCACGTTGCTCTGGTTTTGCGAGACGAGACTCAAATCGGCGGTCGCTGGGTTGAACAAGGAGGACAGACCCAAGTTAGATAGGGTTGATCTTAAACTGAGGCTGCTGGACAACTTCATTCTGGGTAGACTGATGATGCAGGTGTCGTTCTTCATGTTGCTCACGAGGTTTTCGATGTCGGACACGGTTAGCTTGTTCATGAAGCTCCTTAGGGCCTTCGCTCCTTTCGCGTCCGGTAGTAATACATACATCGAGGTCTGGAAACACGTTGCGTGTTAATGTAGCTTCAGGGAAATTTCACTTGTTCACGTGTGTTTTTCGGAAATTCGAATTTTTTATTGAGGACTCAATTTCATTTTTGAATACTAAATGTATTACTGTACAAACATCGATGAGATGTTTTTTGGAACTTTGTCAGGGGATGGATTTCTACATAAGATAGGATTCTGTTATTTTTGTGATTACTGTAGTTTTTAATGACTCAATCAGTGATGATTGTGAATAGATACTCACCTGGCTGCCTTTGTAAGGTAGACCAATGATCTTCGCTCCCAGCTGTTTGTCTTCATAGAAAGGGAACTGACCGCCATTGTACATCATGTCTACTTCGATTGATTTTTCCGGTTCGATGAAGAATGGCCTCCTGAATGATTAAAAATAAGACGAGGAAATGTTGTACTAAGCGATATTTTTGGGTTTTCGTTTTCTGTTATAGGAAATTGATTAAATGTTTGTGATTGAATATATTGGACAGAAGAGGACATGTTATCCTTCGAAAAAGGGCAACGTACCTTTTAGTAGCTCCATTTAAAAAGTGTTGATTCCATTCTCCGTTGAAGTAAAGCGCTGACAAAAGAATGAGCGTAGTGTCCGGAGGAGGTACATCGTTCAGAATACTGTCGATCTTGCCCATAGTCTTCTGTTGTACCCAAGCATTGATGATGTTCTGCGCCATTTTTCCCTTCCTGGCGAAGTCTACATTTATTACTTCGTTCCCGTAGACTTCCTGGCTGATCGACTTGAATTGGGGAAGAATTTGATACCCCTCCTAATATCATACCAATGAAAACATATTTGATTACCTGGTTTCATAAAAGTGCTTGTGTAAAAAGAAATACAAATTCACAAAAATTCAATGGATCAGACTGGACAAAACTGATTAAAAATGTTATCAAGTAGAGAAGAAGAACGAATATTCGAAGTTTCAAATTTCCAAGTTGCAAAATTATTATTCAGAGATTGAAATTTCAAAGAGTGAAAAACAAAAGAAGAAACAAAGTTAAAAGAGGCATCATGAAGTTTCAAATTTCCAAATTACAAAATTATTATTCAGAGATTGAAATTTCAAACAGTGAAAAACAAAAGAAGAAACAAAGTTAAAAGAGACATCATACCTGTACGTATGCGGCAGTAGCAAAGTCCAAACGAGGCCCAGACGAGGTTTCCAACTTAGTACGAAGTTGTGACAGCATTATGCCGAACATCTGATGGACTATTTCAGAATTTCTCGATATATCAACTCCGGACTGTAGTCCAAGGACTCTGGAGACTTCGTTGAAGGTTCTACCTGCAGAACCCGCAAGGACAAGCGCCAGGGCGACGGTCAGACTGATCGGTGAGAAGACTATATTATCGTGTTGCTCGATCAACGAAGTACTTCGTGTCCTATAAATTTCTCGATCTATGTCCAAAGTGAACTTCGTGATACCCGTCACGATGATCTTATTCACCTAAAATTAAACAACCATACTTTCATTAATCAATCGTTATCTAAATAACTTTCTAATCACTAAAATACTCGGGGACTCATTAAATTTGGAAGCGATCGTTTAACTCTTCGCCGTCAACATTAAGCTTACTTTCTCGTATACAAAAATTACAAAAGAAATTTCGATAACGCACATTAGCAAGACTTTTTACTAGTATTACCAAGAATATAAATATTAAGTATTGGTTGGCGCAAAAATCATTTTATTATTTTTATCACTGTTATTCTTGTAATATTTACAATTAACACGTGAAGTATTGTGCTAGGTCACTTGTTTTGTTTCCGCTTATTATCTACGATATTTTTTGGCGATAAGTCAACTTGAAATACTTCCGATTCGTTAAGGGTTAAATACGGAACATAGAAAAAAAATTGGCATGTACATGTGTTTACATTTATTAAGCTAGACTATGAAATTATAAATTCGCTCACATGGCCAGTCCAATCTTGCAACGGATTCTCAGCAACGTATGCTTTTGGCGGGGTCATGGGGGCAGGTGTGGTCGTTATAGTTTTTCTCATAGATCCTTGCGGTGGGTTGTATTGCACGCGTGGCGGCGGTACCGTTGGAATTGGTTGTGCTCCTATTGGTCTGTGCGCGTTCGCTTGAACAATCGGTTGACTTCCAATTGTGTACGACTCTGGAGTTCCCAGCGAAGTCTTCAGCAGCTCGAACTCGTCTGGATAGATCAATTGGCCGGAAGTGCAGGCCAAGAGGCCGAGGAACATCAGTGTGAACATCATGCCTGCGCAAAAGGATTAAACGTTCACAACATAAGCAAACAATGCAGAGATACGCGCGAATCGTGTAAACTTAATAAAACCTATTAACTGATAACCATCAGAAAATCGCGGTTGGATCCTTTCCCTTTCATAACTCCGGGCAAATGATACAATACGGCGACAGGAGAAAAATTACTCATACTGGTTCGGATAAATACTACTATCGCGACACGATTAAAACAGGATAAGGTTTGGGTTCAAGGTGGCGTTGCAACGTCCGCATTTGCCTTTATAATTGAATCCAACGGAGTTAACGTTCACGAAAATATGATGTTCGAATTCCTTCTCTCTCGCTGACTGCATAAAATCAATTAGTTTCTCTCAAGGCTACCGCGAAGGAGCTGCTCGATAGTTTTCGTGCAAGCTTGCGAAGAGAACTGACCTTGCGCGCCTAATTGAGAGCAATTCTATTGTAATACCGCATTTTAGGAAATCAGCGATTGCATTTTCAGTATTTATAGTCCAGTTTTATGAGACAGCCCGCGTAATAATGTGTTCGCGTAGTTATCAGCGTAATTATGGTTTTCGAAGGTAATGCCAACCGGATGCGATGCTTGCAGGAATGAAAGAACAATCGAGTCCGGTAGGGAAAGATTGAACTGGGACTACAGCTGTTGTCACCGCGATGATTTCATAACATTCGTTTAATGCTAAACGTACCGCGACCGGTTTTAAGAATTCATTTAAAATTCTACTTTTCTTTTCACTTTACCTCAATGTCTATGTTGTCTGATTAATCAGATTCTCAATTTTTCTTTCCTTTTATCCTGTATCCATTGAGAAAAATTTATTAACTAATTCGTTTGCCTTTATTTTCTGGCCAGTTGTTTGACTAATTTAGCGTTGGATCATTTCGAGAAGAAACGGTGATGATAATTTGAAGACGCAGGTAGCTTTTCTACAAACTGGTAAAAAACCTTTGAAATTATAGTAAACCGGTTTCAACATTCGCCGCCCTCGACCGGTCGGATGGCTATCTATTTCGTTGTACTGATATCGAACACAGAAGGCTAATTTTTATTTCAGAGGTCTCGTCGATAATCGAGCAATAATTTCATCGATACACCCACAAACATTCGCGATCAGGAAATATTATTTCAATATATTACAATCCTATCTACCGTACATTTAACCGAATTCTTGTTTTTTATCCAGAAATTGATAAGTCAATAAGTATTCGAAGATATTTGTAAATTACTATTTATACAACAAACTTCCGGCAGCTAATAAAAGAAGCATTTCTATACTACTGCAAAAACAGTCTAAGAATAAAACGAGCATACGAGTTTTTCCTATAATTTTCGTTCATTAATTTTTTCAGAGTTACAACACACGCGAATTAGCATAAGAATTAAAGACTCAAAATACATTACAATCCTATTAGCGATATATTTTACTGAATTCTTGTGTTCTGTCTAAAACCTGATAAGCCAATAAACATTCGAAGAGATTTAATGAGAACGGCTAATGAAAGAAACATTTCAGTATTAATACAAAAGCGACTTTTTGTCCATCAATTTTTTCAGATTGACGAAAACTTACAAAACGTATGAATCAGCGTCGAAATAAAAAATTCAACATTTCTTCTCTTTCGATCCTGATTCAAGGAAACATCTCTGCTACCCGCTAACGTTCGAATTATTTAAATTGACGAACGGCGAAAAAGACGCATCCGCTTTCCAGTTATAACTGTAATCTCGGAAATGAGATGAGAAGCAAACGCTCAGAACCAGTATTATCGGTACCGATTTTTCTGTACTGTCGTGAAACTTGTTTAACGACACGGCTTCCGAATGTTCGTTTCTTCATGAACAAAATACGTAGCTAGATAAGTAGCAAGATACGTAGAACAAGATAATAAATTTTACGTAGCTCCGTCTGTTTCGAATTGAGAAGAAACGCTCGCGCTGGAGAGTATCCTTGGACGGGTCAAAATTCTTTGTCCTCTGGGTGTAAATTCTTATTGGCTCCCATTAAAACCTTGAAAAACGTCATTATGATCGTTCGAAAACCTTCGCTGCGAGGCCGTACGCAGTCGCACTCTTCACATTGTTAACATTTTGCACTCGAACTTTTTCGTCGCGGTGAATAGCAAACCTTTTTCTTTCATCGGCCAAATCAAGGACTATGTACTGGAAACAATGAAACGTGAAATCATATGTAACTAAAGTTTAATTTCAAGTACAAAGCCAAATTTTTGCAGTGTCTGTGAGGAATACTTCGAGTGCAACGAGTCAATACTAGATTTACGGAATGAGTCAGTTTGACTAATATGTAACTCTGTAAACATTATTCGGAAAATTAGCATAATACTTGCATATTTGTGTTAATTATAATTGCTCATATTTCGTGTTATGAAAATTTCTCTATAGGTGGTTGCATGGCTAGTGAAACACAAGCCGGAACTGTTAATTGCGAGACGTATCTGCTGATAAGGACGAACGGTACGAATTATAACAATGCTTTCGATTAACTGTTTTCCTGTGACGCCAGCTCGATATTATCACTCTTTCGACATAAATATGTGGCCTCACCAATTTCCTATTCGCTTGCATTATCGTAACTTTTAATTGCGGTCAGCAACGTCTGCTAACTTTCTGGTGGCAATTAATAAACTAAAACCGCAAATCGCCGTGAGAAAAACATTATAATACGAATAGGAAACATCACGGATCGTGTCGCATTCGTTGAGCATAAAAAAGAATGATAGCTCGAATGATGCTCGCGGTGATTAATATTTACATTGAATGCATACGATCTTACTTAGCTCCGCATATTATCTCAGACAGCCTTTCTACAAGATTAATGGTTGCATCGTTTAGAAATGACAAGTGGCAATAGAGAGATCCACAACCTTGTTAAATATACTTGTGATTGTTGTCAATTACGTTTAAGAAAAATCTATTGACTAATTCTGTAATATGGGGAAATATGCAATCATTGCTTAAGAAACAAAAGTAAAGGGTTAATATACGAGCGATCTAGAGTAATAGTGGCCTAACTCCTATATGAAATGTTCTCAGATTAGTTAAACACTGATATTACAATGTTATTAATCACTAATTATAGTAATTGCAGTATTAATATTTAAGTAATCAAAGAACGTTCCACATCTTCTCGAGAACTCAGAAATTGTAGTTAGACCATTATTCTGAACCATTCACATTTCTAAGCCGAAACTTTAGCAATGCTAATCAGAAATAGAAAAATTCGTGTCTAATAGTTCGTTTGCGTTCGTACAACGTCAAAGCCGAAGACTTCAGTTTCTATGGAACGATTATTTCGAAGCCCGCCATGTAATTCATCGAAGACGTTACTCATTTGCTACCTCAGAGAGTAACGGAGTATCCGATTTCTTTTGTTCGGTCGGAAGAACAATAAGTTCCGAATCGTGTCCGATGACTTGACGATACTGTGGAACGCTTTGTAGTACGTGACTGAGCAATATAGGTGACACTATCGCGCAAGTGTGGGAGCATCCAGTGGGAAAACCCACATCGGATACCGGTCGGCGATGTTAACATCTTGATGGGATTAAGATGACCGAAACTGCGTGCCGGGAAGACGCTTGTACGCATCACACCCTGCATATTTTAATCCCCACCGAGGGACGTAAATCCCATCATTCTTTTCCTTCATTATATTTAAGGTCACCCGAAAATAAAACTGAAATGCCTGAACTCGCGGAACGGAACTTGCGTCCCCTTATAGAGTCGCTCGAGACGCCATTTTTACGGCCACAATGATTTCTCGGGCGAGTGACGCGCGTGTCTTATTTCTTACAAGTTTCTTGTCACTGGACACATTTCAATGCATCATCGAAAGTGCAATATTGCACGAAATACGAGGATGCAATAAAAATATATGAAATATAAGCGTAATTCCGTTTATATTTGCTATTTTCTACCGCAATTCTACGCTTCCGATCGTATCCTTGAAAATTTGAGTTTGTAACTGTATTTTAGTCGTTCTTTGAGATTCCTTGCATGTCTGTGAAGTTTTAGAATTTATAGCAATTTCCTTTATTCCCTGCACTTCGAAATGCGTTAATTGCAGCGTCGAACGTTGCTGCTATTGCATAGTCAAACGATGAACCGTGCTAGCTGATTCCAAACGATGTTCCTTAGTTAATGGTGAAATATGCGACGAATAAAACGTGTTAATTGACGTTTTTTATTTTGCACATTCCTAAGAAACGAATTCTCGCAGCAAGATGTTACTGATCCATACGAGCCCGGTGATCAATCTCTTTTTTCAATTACTCAAGGATTCCGATGTGCTTCGATGTACAAGTTGATTGCCGCAGCTTCGGGAAAGGTTAACCTTTAAACGGTGCTGAATTACGATAATTCCGCAACTTCACTGGCTGCAAACCACGACGGAATTCCCTGAAGATCGCAAGCTCGATGACCCCGGAGTTAGTCATCGGTTCACGGCTGAAGGATTATTATGGGCTGAAAGCATCATCGCGCAGGAATCAGCATTCTTTTTGATCAGAGACAGAGGGGGTATATCTTCGATGAAGATAATAATTAATGCGTGATTAATGGCGTCGTAATTTGTAGATGATGACCTTATTCAACAGGTTATCCACTAAAAAGTATTCTCGACGTCACCGTTCATTATTTGCACATTAATTAGCGCGAGGTGTTATGTTTATAGTCGTTTTGTAACGATTTCGAATTTTCCTGGCGGGGAAGAGGAAAACCAGCTTTCTGTTTTGTTCTACGGTCTTTCTCCTGAGAGTTTTACGTTGTCAATGGATTTTGACTGTAAATGTTTATCTAAGAGAGACTCCTTTATGTAAGAAGTATGTATGATTTCATTTTTGTTGGACTTTATCGGTGAATACCATTTAAAATTTACTTCATTTCACTTATACTATTTATTTTTGAAATTTACTGTTCGAGTACTATTCAAATTTAAAGGACTTTTATAACTTCGTGTTGCTATGGAAAGAATAAGGCGCAATTGTGTATAAATAAACAAACGATTGCAGATAGTCGTATGAATCAGGATTGGCAAGGATGAATAAACGTTCCTCTTTCAGATCTTTTTAACCATACAATGGAAGAAGCATAACCGAAGTTTCTATCGTCCCGAATTATATTATCATTAACGAATGGTATGTGTCAGCCGTCATTGTGCCTTGTCCTAGAGAAAATTACAATTACTAACGCGATAATCGTGCATATTGTTGTTCACGTGTTCATATAACCGATTCCAAGAATACATAACATGGCGAGTTTGTACGATTTCGTATTCACGTGTTAGAATTTTATTATATGTACGCGAAAAAGTGCATTCTGCGAAAAGAAATGTGAAAGTAGTTTATTATTTTGAATGAATAATATAATTATAGTTAATGTTCTTTTCAAAATAAAATATTTTCTAGACATGAACGACGTACGTTGTAATATATTTTATTGCGACCCAAAATCAAATGAAAAACTCAAAATTATTTTTAATATACGTATAGCCTTTTTGACTCTTCTATTGTATTCTGTAATGAAATCGGTAGATTCTTTGGTTTAAGTCTATACGAACTTTTTTATTCATCCAAAACCATCAATCTTTCAAAAACACCCACTGACAACTTTCGAAATGTAAATGTCTTCGGCAGATTCTACAAACGATCTTTCGTAACTCATTCTAAATTAATATGTCAAGAGAAACTGAACTAAAGGTCCCAAGAAACGTGTAGGGGATCAGCACGAGAATAGAATGCAATGACAATGAACTTCCTTCAAAAAGTCATCTGAACTCATACAAATTTAGAAATAAGAAAATAAGAATCCTCGTCAGTTTTATTATTATCAAGTAATATTATTATTAAAGAAAAATATTTCCAAAGTAAGATGATAGAAGAAACATTTTAGATTAGAGAAGATAATAGTATTTAGAACAATCATTGGTCATATGAAAAATACCTTTATATCTATATCCTTACCATACAGAATTAGTTATGACTTCTATTCTGTCAAAAACATCTCATTGCTAACACATTGACTGTCAAAGTTAAAAGTTATCCACTCCTAAAGTCAAAATACCCTTTCTCCGATGTGTATAGTTATTACACACGATAAACCATAATTCTGACAATCTACTAAAACTTCATTTGTCAACAATCACTAGAAAATTCATCGAAACCTTCGCCAAAGAAGTCTTCGCATTAAAAGTCAAACACACCGACCACATTATCGAATACCTTCAACCGAAACTTCGCTCCAAATTAAATGTAACAATACAGAATACGAAAAGAATATACGGGAACGTTCCGAATACTCCAAATTTCTCATTGCTACCGCAAACTATTAGGTACCGGAAACACTTCGTTTCCTTACTAGCAATGAATTAAAATCCGATTTCGATCAGTATCTCACTACTCCAACGAATGAAATTGGTATTAGCAGCAAGTTATGTTTCTGCTCTTGAAACAATTACAAAGACCCACAAAAACAACAGTTACAAGGCCATAATCGAAACCAACATACCAAATAACACTTGCAAACAATTATTCTGAAAACCGTTTCAATCCCCGATCCTAGTTATCCACTATCAAACCTGATCCCCAACACCTAACCAACCAAACATCAATTCTACGAACAGGAACAAACTACACAGTAAACATCCATAAATCTACCGAGAACCCGCGCGAATATTGTCCAATTCCTCAACAGTAAATTACACGTTGAAACGATGGCAACAAAAAGCAGCGTAAAACACCAGGTGAAAAGAATGCATGTCAAAGATTCCTGTGATCTTAAATCGCGTGTCTTTACCTTTTCCAGATTCCCGCGGCGCGTGCTTGGGCGTCTGATTATCCTCCTCTACGATCCTCTTCTAACACGAGGTCCGGTTGATCAAGTTCACTCGGGCACAGGAGTTATACCGTGCAGAATGCGAGTAAGTACAACGGAGTGTTGCTGGTCGGTCACAATATCCCCTCGGAATCTCGAGAAGAAAGGAGAATTCCCGAAGAACTCTCCGAGCAGCTTGTCGAGGATGGATGAAGCGAAGAATCGGCGAATATCGGTGTCCTAACGAGCAAGAACGATCGCGGCTCTCCGGCGACGTGTGGATAGATCAAGAGCCACGAGACGACTGAGTCACGCACTGCACTACGGTTGTATTACTCTACTCGTATTTACCGCATTTCTCCGTGCCGCTTCTTCGTGTGACGGTCATCGGATTCGCGAGGGCAAAAGCAAACCTGTACAGGTTGTTCAACGTGTTGCCACCCGTGATCCATATATGGCGGGGTCCTAGCGACTGTTTCCGGAAGATTTGGACCTGCAAGCGGCGCTCCCGGTTTTCCCAGGAGATTAGGTTTTGCTATTTTGTTTGTTGTTGATACCGGCTTTCGGGAATGATGACACGCGCGTTGATAAGCTTTAGAAGTCCTATTCGGGATTATCGGGTTTTCCCGGGCGAAAAGTTTCACGATAGTTGCCGCCGTGTTATTAACCGAGTTAGCGGTTGATGTAATTAGTAATTGCTGGACACGTTGAGTACCGCACGATTTAGCCGAGAAAAATCTGCAAAATAATAATAATGTAGCGTCAACTTCTGTAATTGAATTACGTTATTATTATTACAGGTTTATCTCGTTGAATGTTACTGCATTAGCTAGCATTATTTATAATATAGGACATTTTTCAAATAATCATAGTTTAATCGAATGAATTATAGTAATTCGATTTGGTTGAGGTCACCGGTGACCCCCATGACATCCAACGTATTAATAATTGGTGTGTGGTTAGCTTAGTAGTGTAATGGTTTAAGGATTTAGTAGTAGTGTACTGTATGCTAGCAGTGTGAAGTAGCTGAAGCATTTCAGTAACAGGTTTTTTGAAAATTCTTCTGTAACACGTAACGAATTCATCAATCATTCAAATCTTCTTAATGTATATGCAGGTTGAAAGACCGCTTTAGCCTCAGGTACTGCGAAATACAAACATAAAGGAACAAATAAGAAGAAAAAGAAATTAAAGTATGTAAAGGGTACTAATGAAGCGTATACTAATGATGTATGTTAATAGTATGAATTAGTAGTTAAACTGTATACTAATGAAGTATGTATTAATATATATGCTAATCGCATAGATTAATGGTTGATGATTAATGATATGTTATTAAAGTTCTTACTTGAAGCGGTTAATTTCTGATCAATGAAAGGGGAATGACACGTGGGCTGTATGAAAGAAACGTTTATTTATGTTACGATTCGTTCATTTGCATGTCGATAAAAAGAGAGTACCTCGTATCGTGGCCGGACACGTTAACGAACAAAGAGTGAAAATAAAAAGGTCTCGATGCATTCAGAGGGTTAATATAGTGAATTTTTAATCAGTGACGCGACTCGGCGGAAATTTCGGTTGGGAGAGAGAAAGAATTTTCACGGAAGATAATGTTTTAGGTATTCGAGAAGTTCGTATTGCAATAAAATCGTGTGGTTTCGATTAAGTTTTAATGAATAAGTTTCGATTGAGATTTAATGTTTGAGAATATTTTTAGTCCTCCAGGTTTACGGACATTATTCAAATGAGTTATTTATAATAGATTTCTGAAGGGTGAAAGAACTTTTTTCTGATTGCGACATTAATACGTGTTTGTACAAAGATCTACAGTTTACTAATAAATAAAGCATTTAATGAGCTGGTATACTTGATTAATATTCATTGCGAAAGTCATTGATACCGACTGCCATTCAGGGAAGATGATTTGCGTGTCAGGGATTGCCGAGGTTAACTTAATATTTTTGCTGGAAAAAGGGGACTTTCCTGGTAGAGGATTGTTTTAAATAATATTTATTAGTCACTAAATTAAGCAATCGGGAAATTTGATTGCATTATTAATGCGGTTCTTGGTATGATGTGTTTTATCTTAAGAAATTAAGGTAAACCGTTTTTCACTCGGAAACATTTAATTCGAAAATATCTATAGATAACGAAGGAGAATATTTAGATAAATGTCTTTCTTATTTTAATTTCAGAAAAATGATGTGTAAACTACGTTATTTATGGAACGACCCAATACATCATCCGATAACTTTCCATCAACTTGTAAACAAACACTTTTTTATTTTGCGAATTAACGAGACCACGAATATTTTTAGCAAACAAACGTTTCTAAATGTTTCTCGCGGTAATGTTAGCTTGTTTTATTATCTAGCAATGTTTGAATTCTAATAACTGACATTCCTCAATCTGGATGTTAGCTTTGCCGATAACGTCCAGTAACACGTTTAAAAAATCGATCCTTATTCACACTGCAAACTTGGTACGCATTAACGGGTTTCCCGCTAGATCGAATGTGTAGAATCGTGAATAGATATTTGGATTTCAAAGATATCGACTGCTTCTGAGGAATAGATACTGTTCGTTTCAATAGTTGACGCATTCAGCAAACCCCTCGTATCGAACTACGATATTTGGATTTCCCCGGGGTTATATTTTAAGCTTGATACCTGAAACTGTGTCTAACTATAAGTATTTAGTACAAATTGCAATTAGTTATCGCCGTTGTAATTGCAGTATAATGCTGAGTAAGTGGAAATACGTTTTTTTAAATGACACTTGATACCTGTACAATATTTGTTTCAGACAGTCTTCAAAGGATATAATTGATGTAATCGAAACTAGTACGTAGTGTATTGTTATACAGGGTGTTTCTGAAATCATGGAATTAGTGGAAGAATTATTCTGTTTAAAAAATAAGTTAAAGATATGCTATTATGCCTATTCTTAACTTACTTGCACTTTTTGTAAATGTTTCCAATATTTTCAATGTCTCAATGATATTTCAAATATTCTCAATATTTTCAATATTTTCAATATTTTCAATATTTTCAATGTTCTCAATGATATTTCAAATATTCTCAATATTTTCAATATTTTCAATATTTTCAAATTCTCGTATCAGAACATTTGATCAATTCTTTACGTACAAAATTCATCGAATACTTCTAAATTTCATTTCATACCACTCAGGAAACACCTTGTACAAGAATATCATAGATAAACGTGTCAAACGAGATAACAACCTCCTGCAGTTAACTAGAATTCGCAATGAAAATATTTCAATAGGGATTTTTAATTATCTAACTAATACACTAAGTAATTTTTTCCACACTGAAACTTGCAACTCGTGCATCACTACGAAACTTCATAAAAATTCCAATATACTTAACACCATTTCTACCGAAGGTATCTTTAGACACCTAAATCTTTAACTTAAAATTATTTTCCAACTTCAGTCGTACATTCTGTAATAATGATTTTTCTTCTATAATACCGATTATAAAATTAACTATAGGAAATATTCAAAATTCGATTAAGGGAAATTGATTAAACTGAGAAAATAATTTTAAGTAAAAATTTCAAAAGGTGTCTATTGACACCTACATATCGATCACAAAAGCAATTATCAGCATCGTCCGTTTATTGGATAATAATTATTCAAGGCTGCGCCCAATTCTACACTCGATTGTCAATTTGGAAATGATGAAACATACTCTTACATCATGAATAGTTTCATCGACAGGGAACAAGCCTGGGGTTCACAGTTAGCCGCCGAAAATAATTGTCTGGGCGTCAATGAAATTCACATGACTAATTACGCACACACGGGGAAGTTTCGAATAAATGATTGATCATATTGTTCATCGCCGGAATCGCGGAACACTTGTCTCGAATGGGACGCGTCTATTTCAACGCGCCACGTAACGCGGCATTGTTCGCCGTTGAATCGAGCCACGGCGTTTAATAAAATTGATAAGAATCGAATGATCGGAGAAAAGATGTTGCCAGCAATGTATGCGAAGTATGTCGCTAGGAAATCGATTGGCTTCGTGTATCACGCGTCGGCCTGCTGACTTATCGCACAATTTTCCTTTTTCTATTTCCTTCCCGTGCGGGATAGAAATGTTTCGCGGTACCGGACGACATTCGCGTCGCACTACATAATTCAATTGAAGCTGTGTCATGCGATACCAGGAAAAGAAAATTAACATTAGATAAATTCTTCAATTAGTCCTATAATTCAGCCATTGGTCAGCTTAATGGATATGTTACTTCCATCAGAGTTGAAATTCCTTTTGATATTGCTATAATCTTAGTATTGCATCAGCGAAATTGAATAAGTGATTAAACTAACATTAATTTAAGAATAAATTAAGATTAGTTGAAGTTTCATTGTAAATAAATTTAATTTTTAATTAGTTTTCATTCAATCTTTAACCGGTTCTGATTTATTTAATGAATTACTTAATTTTTAATTAATTTTCATTCAATCTTTAACTGATTCTGATTTATTTATGGATTACTTAATTTTTAATTAACTTTCATTCAATCTTTAACCGATTCTGATTTATTACGGTAAAAATGTAGGAAGTAGAAAGCTCAAATAGACCCAACATTCTTTGTCTTTTTTACATCGTCTTTACAAATGACACATACTTTCCCCTGCTGGTTTGCTGGAAACTAATCTTGTTTATGTAAAAAGTGAACCAGTAAATGTATCATAATCTATTTTTGCGCGAGGGACGCGAATGTTCCTGAAAAACGACCGATGACGAAAAAGCTAAACAATGTCACCAGTTATTATGATAAAAGCCGTTCTGGGCTTATGCAAATATGTTTCAAACGATGACTCGATCACTTATATTTCGCAATAACATCGTCATTTAAGCGAAAAGGAGTTCGGGAATACCAAAATGTTCCGCCATCGCATGTACGCAATAATCAATTACGAAAATGGTCAACATAGACCCATGAATGTCAGTAATTAAGTAGAGAATTAATAATAATCTTATTGCTCTTTAAAAAAAATAGTTGAATGGTCCTAACAATAGCAGTATACGAGGAGATTTCAGTAATTTATTCGTATTTTACACGCATGAACATGTAAAATATCGTCAAATGATATTACATGGAAAATATAAGAATTTATATAACAATTTTTATGTATTATATATGTTGTATATATTATAGAATATTTTCCATATTTACATACATTCTGAGAATTACTTTTGAAAAAGTTTCCCAGAGAAATTATTATTTTTATTGTCATATTTTATTGTAGAATAACGATATCGTAAAAATAACAGAAAATATTTATGAATGATAATACTAGTCTCTGATGTGATAGTTAAGTTTGAATGTTATGAAGGAAGTCTGATAATCATATGGATGGGAATACCAGACTAAGCTGACGAGTGAAAATTTATTGTGCATATGAAATGTCCCATGATGCGAGATTTCTATAGCATTACTGATCGTGTGATCTGAGAAGATATGCATAAGACATAGTAATTGAATGCGGAAGCAAGATTTAATATCGAAATAACATAACTCAATTTTTTATTTGAATAAAATTATATACGTATGAAACTTGTCTGTTATTAATATCTTTTCCGATAGATTTTGTATATCTATACACGGTTATACAAAATAATAGTAATAAATATAAACAAAATAATAGTAACAAAGAGAATACAAAATAATAATATTAATGTTACAAATAAGATTTCAAATTTTACCGCCTTAATTATAAAGCGCGTAAATTGAATTATGAAGAGGTTACTACGCAAAAGAATATTATAATAAGAATTCTTTTATGAGAGGTAAATCATAAGATTAAGTCCATAAGTCATTCTTGTCGATATCATTTTATTCGTACAAAAAATTTCCAACGATAATGTATTCAGGAAAACATGAATATAGAAGTTGTTCCTTATTTAACCAAATTAAGAATAATTAAGAATATTTAAGAATTTCCATATAAACTGTTTTGAGGAAATTTTTTGAATACTGAACAGTCGAATGATTTACATTTAATTTGATATCGAAATGTAATCGACTATCGATTGTATATCGATGTTTAAAAGTGCGATATAATATTGACAACGTTCGATCTCAGTGCTGATGGTTAAGTGAATACGTACGCGTAAAAAGTGTTTTGTTTATCTACTGTTAAACCGTTAATTAAATAAACTAAATATGCCGTCGAAAGTTGAACCACGTACCGCAATACCTCTGGTAAAAATGATGAGAAATCTTTTGCGAGGTGTAAGTATAATTCTTCGTATATTTGTCGTTCATTTAACGCGTACTAAGTAACCTATAAATCATTTATTTTTGTGAAAATTACGTAATAGTTTGTTTTTATATTAAATTACTATATTGACAACATTTCTTACATACCGATTTCACAAAATGACAATTATAAAAATCATTTAATGAAATTGTAGATCTTTAATTGATACCGGTTATACAGAGTTACAAATCAGGCTAAACACTTTTTCCATAAAAGAATTACATAAATACTGTAATTTGTTTATTGAAAAATTGTTGACATTTTGAATTGGTATTAGTTTATAAAAAGAATTACACAGTAACCCATCTAGGCTCATTTTAAATTAAGAATTAGGGTCTTGAAGATTGAAGTTTTCTATTCGTAATGACTCTCTAAACTTGTATGATTTTTTTGCCAAGTTATTGAATTTAAAATATACGTAAAAATAACAAAGAGGCATTGAAAATTTAATATTTCTAGAATTTTTGTTGTTTATTTCCGTATATTTAAAATTAGAGTAACATTTATTAATTTCAGAAAAACATTAACATTTCAGAGACGTGTTGTGGAAGCGGTAAGATTTCCATGTAATGTTGCTGACCGTACACAACCACCTCCTACAATACCTTATGGACCAAACCATAAAACTTCTAAAGTTTACTATTATACACGCGATGCCAGACGTCTTGTTCAACCACCCATTGCGATATATTCAGCTACTAAACAATTAGAAGCAGGGTAACTATATTTATCATTTATATACATACAGCATATAAAATATATATTATGTTCATATTTTTCTTATCAATAATTTTTCTTAATCTAAACTAATTATCAAAAATTTCAATTTAATAGTTTAATTTGAATAATATTGTATATATTCAAAATAATTGATTACTCTTCGTTAAATAATAATTATCAATTTACATTTAGGAAGGGTGCTCCCAGTGAAGTTAAATATGTTACACCAGGTAAAGTTTACAATCCCCCAACACAATGAATGACTATGATAAAATATTTATTGAGTGTTAGTTATGATATAGCTACTACATGTAACAAATGATTATTAAATAAGATGTATGTAAACTGAGATAATAGAATATTGTAAATAAAGCAGACTTTTTTTAAAGTAATTCTTCCATTTAATGTTTAATCGATAACAGTGCATAAATAATAAACAGAGGAATGTTTTCATATACACATCTCCTGCAGTCGGCAGGCGTATACAATAAATCTTGGGTTTATAATACATTATTACATACATACAGAGCACAATGCTTTCATAAAATTTCTGTGAGTCTAAGAAATAACATTGACACTGAGAGGTTTGTACAATCAGCAGATTAGATACTGCCATATCTAACAATATAATACACGGCGTATTCGTTTAACAATTCTTTGTAGAAACAATGAATTTCTCCGTTGCAAACTAACAATTATCAACGGAAATCTTTCGAACAACATATAATTTAATAAGGAATTTGATTCTGATAATACTGTATCATGTCATAAGTTTTCGTACGGAAGTTGAGGTAGCTGTTACGTATTACAGTGAGCATAAAAGCCGCAGCATCGCGGTCAATGGCTGTCGGCACAAACCTGCTACGTAATAGCTTGATCGTTTGACCGCGGAAACAAGGTAGCCCTGTGTCAAGCATTAGAGAAACTAAAGAAATAATTGCTTCTTGATAGGGTCTGTAAGAAAAAAAAAACATTGTCATACACATATATGCGCATTGTACCAAATATTAATAAAATTACTATTATGCTTATTATTCGATAATTATATGTTCGTTTAAGTATTATAAAATGTTACCTCACAGCTAAGAAGGCTTGTACACATAATTCCATAAACCATCGAAAGGGTGCGGCCTCCATTTTTCCTCCCATAACAAGCACCATTTCATCAGTCAACTTAATATCAGGTTCAAACCCTAAGTTACCACCTGGTGAACTTTCGAACATAAACCCAAAATCGATATGTATAATATGACCTTCTGTGTCCAGCATAATATTCCCATTATGGCGATCTTTGATTTGCAAAAGATATGTGATAACGCTGTAAGCAGCCATTGATTTAACGAAGTTGCGGCGGACATTCTGGAATTCCTTTGTTGTCTCATCCCCGTAACGTTTAATAAAATATTGATACATATCAATATCTGTAGTACGACCTAGCTGGTCGCGAGACGTTGCATTTGGTACACATTCTATGACACCACACTAAAACACACATTAATAGTTTTCGTTGAAATACCTTTAAATAATGTAACATTTTTTCTAGAAGTGCGGCATTACCCCAGGCGCTGTAGCTACTACTCTATACGGGAACAAAAATAGATTCAATCCCACTTTTTGGAATATATTCTTGAAAATACTGATCACTTGCAACGCCAACATATCTTGTCTAACGTCGTCGCCAACTTTGAAAATAGCTGCTTGCCATGTCTCCTTTTCTGGTTCTTTTTTAATGTCTGCTTTCCCATTCGATACTGCTAACGCTATATTTTCTAATTCGTTAATTCCATACTTTTGTACTTTGAAACGCGCCAAAAATGGTGCTTTTGCGGCACTGTGATGAATAAAATATTAGAAAGTAATGTCAACAATGTTTGTACGTGAAATCATTCGAATTTATTACTCACCTTTGCATAGGAGTTCCACTTTGATAATCAATATCAAGAACCATAGCTTCAGGATTAGAAGGTAAATAACAACCAGGTTGTACTTTGATCTTCGACAAAGCTTTTAAACACGCCGATTTACGTTCAGGGCCCTTTGGATATGGTCTTATTTCACCGGAGATATTCGTAATCTTTTCAAAGAAATCAAATTCTCTTTCGTAGAACTGTTTTGCTTGTCCTGACAGTGATCCTAAAATACTCTTTACTAAAGAATCCAGTATATCGAAGAGAACGGGATCTTTAATTTGTTTATCCTCGTCCATATACATGTTCGTATGCATGTTCCAAATTAACTGATGCGCCACTACCTATACGAGATTAATCACAACAAAAATTTAAATGATGCCGTTAACGTTAACTAACCCTTTGCACTCGGGTAGTGACTCTCAGTCATCATTTGATTTGACGCGGTAAAACTGTAAAATCTGATATGTAATGTTGAACTTTGTATAATGCCCGATACGTAAAATATTCAAACAAAATAACTTTGTTCCTCAATGTACTTGTGATTTCCCTTTGAGTTAGTTTCAAAAAATATCGTCTTCGCCTCGTCAAAAAATGTTAAACGTTTCTAGTGAGAAACTTCCAAGTACAAAAGATTAAATGAAATCAATGTAATTTCTTTATCACCTACTTGTGAACGTTTCGAAATTTTTTTAATAAACTCTATTACGTAACCCATGGTATCATGGCGTACTGCTTGCACAAGTTGAGGTATATAGAAAAGCACAGCATCAGCTGGATAACTACTTAGCACCCCTACTGCATACTGCGCAGAGATCGGATGATGAGGGAACTGACGGGAGAAATATGCTAGTGCTTGAATAGGAGACACTCTTTCCCATGTTAACATGTACACCAACTGGAATATAATCATTCAATTATAACAATTTAAAACTTTTGCTTCTATGGAACGTTCGGGATTCATGATATTTCATTAATATCTTACTTCAGGTACGTCATTAAGTAATGTGTCCGTGGTTACGAGATACTGTAAGGCTTCTGGAACGTGCATGACCGGCACAGGTTTCAGACGAACTAATCCACATACTTCTTTAATAATGATTTCCGAATTCTTTAATCGGACTGGTAAAAATACAGCAAGAACAGGACTGATTTCCCATGCGAGACGCGTGTATTCACACCATTTATTATTCATTGCTTTAGCACGCCATTCTGCGATACTCGATTCACCTGGAAGTGCAAGCTCTTGCCTTCCACCAGGATTTCTCCAAACCTGTGTATTAATATGTCGAGAAACATACATACAAACTGAGGAGTAGGGAATATAGAGTTAATCTTACCAGTAACATTTCTATTTCAACGGCTAATAATTCCAGAATTAAGTTTCTCTTTTTAATGTAATCCTTTACGAAAACATTGGCATTCATAACACGTTTGCTACGGTTACTGCGTTTACCGAGTGTATTGGTACTGGTCGACATAGGGACTGTATTAATCCATACGCTCGACGATGTTTTCGAAAAATCATTACCCGTTGTGCCCAATGCTGTGCTTAAGGAAGCAATTGTTTCACTGTGGCCGAAACCACCAGTTGTATAAGACTGAGGTGTTAACATCTCGAATTCACTCTCATTCCCAGTCATTACCAAGTACTTTTTATCACTATGCATGACCTGTAGAAAATAAATTGAGTACAGTGTTGTTAATTTTTCATATCTCCATACGATCTCTGATGATTAATATTCTATTACCTGCCAAAAGCGTATAAGTGTGACTAAGTCTTCTCGCAGCTGTTCAAGCTCTTGTGTAGGTACTTGACGTTCTCGACAGAAGTAGTCCAAACAATTACAGTAAACACGTTCACGTAATACGTTTTTGCTCAAAGTTCTGTGAACATAATTTATTATTTTTCTACTCGCATTCATTAGACAGCACTACACCCTTCACAATACCTTGGCAAAATATCTCCTTGAAGAAGAAGTAATCCGCAAGAAAGTAATTTAAAGCGGACGCCAACTGCAGCAATGTGGCGACTCATTCCGGGTTCTTCACCAGAAGCACCGACAGTCATTGGCAGCGACCGATGTAGCAAAGTAACAATCATGTCAACTGTTTCTTGGCAACAATATTTAGCAGTTTCAATTAATTCTACGATAAAAGTAACCCAAATTTCATGAGGTTTTGTTTGTGGAGGATTTGGGCCTAATTTGCACCCTTCGTATACTGCCAGTGGACTAACTTCCTCTTCATCTGGTGCGAATAAACCCATTCTCTTATCGACAGTGTATTGCCATGCAACAAGCATTTCTTGTAAAAAGCGTAACTTGAGATCTGGACGAACAGTAAGTATCCACTGCCAACATTCCACTGCTGTGGTCATGGCTGCAGGTGTGAATAATTCTATCTGCGAAGAAGCTACTGTATGCAACAAACGTCTATGTATTCCTGGAAGCATAGAGTGAAGTTATTTCTTGAAAACGTAAAGTAATCGTTTGCGAGAAATTATTAGGAATTACCTGGCATAGAGATTAACAGCGCAGTGGCACGCCAAAGTGCACTGCGATGCTTCGCATCATCATGGGAACGACAGGCCATCCAAACGGCTTCAATCAACAGATCAATTACTTTGTTCCTGCTCTCTTCAAAAGATATCTCAGAAGTAGAAAATTCGGTTTGCGCTAAAGAGAGCATTCCTGCTATTTCTCCAGCATACCGTGACCTTGTGGACATCATTGACAAAAGCCATGAACTAGCTCCTTTTGGACCACGTGGTCGTTTGTCTAACGAATTAGTCTACAAAAACAGTGCACCTTAATATTATGACATTTCTAGAACATTAGATACTACAGAAAACAATTTTACATTTGGCAAAGCTGATGGAGGAACAGCGAGATCCACAAATTCCAAGACTGAATCTGTAGACAAGCACAAGCCAGAATGATGTTTCAATCCGGAAGATGGTATTTGATTCACATATTCCTGCAGATGTGATCTAGTAGCCTGGGGTGCCCATTTCATAGCTTCTTGCACTATACCTTTACATCTTGCGGTAAAATCTTTTACAATTATCTATATTACACAAATTGATATTAATCTTGGAATAATTTAAACGCATAGTAACAATATGTATACCTCTCTTGCTTCCAGTGAGTCCATAAGTTCGATACTGTACGATGTACCAGGTATTCGTAATATCGGTGTTTCTTCGTTCGGATCAATTTGTAATGAGAATGACAGAATCTACAAAAATAACAGTAATAATAATTGCATAAGAAATATTCACGTGTACAATAACTGTAGATGCATACCTGTAATATATCCAACATACTCCAAAGCACCTTACAATTCCATAGAAGATGCGGGAACGCATCTACTAAAGCACTGAGATATTTGTCGGCTATCCGTCTGATTTGCTTATGTACGTGGTTAAAATGCACCAGGAGAAATTGAGCATGATTTTCCAGTTCCCTTTCACGCCTTTCGTCTTTTGGTTTACGTTGCATCACGTCTTTGAATTTCACAAAGACAGAATCAGCGACGCAACATATACACTGCCACATACCACTCTTTTCTTTTTGTAAATCAGTGTCGCATAAGTATTCCATAATGGGTTGCAAACTCGGCTCAGGACTGTTTGCCACCCTTAACGTTTCCAGCCAATAAACAGATAATAAATACGTGCACTGAGCAAATTGTAATTTTGTTACATACTGTGATATGTCATTGGTTCTATAAAAAAAAAATCATTTTCAGTATACAATCCACTGATACGAAGTGAACAAATTCAATGAGGATATTCACCTAGTAGTCAATTTTAATATTTGGCTTCTTAATTCTTGCAATTCGTTTATGGATACACTGTCATTGCGAACAGCGGATGTATATTGCAGTTCCCTCATCTCAAGGCGAGCGCTAGTCTGCGAAATGAGATACGGTGATTTGGCAGCAATTTCCTTGACACCTTCGTACCACTCTGCCGGCCATAATCTCGATGCTTGGTCACCAGCGAAACCCATTACAACGCAGTAAAGCCAGAAATCTTTGAAGAGCTTAAGAAGTCTTTTCTGAGGATGTCTGATCGGTGGTAATCGGCGAACCAATATGGCAATCACAGGAATCAGCACGCCTAAATTTCCTGCACTACTTGCTGCTTTCTAGTAAGAAATATCAAAATTAAAACGGAACTGTACAAATTAATATTCACTATAGTAATTAATAAATATGATTACCGTTGCGGGAACATTGTTTGATACTTTATCACTGGCTCGTTTGCCCTCCAATCCAAGCTGAACGAAAAGTTCAAGCAAATGAAGCAACAAGTCGTCCAAGTCGGTTTCACCTTGTAAATTGGCTGCTATATTAGCGAGAGCATTCGTGACTGCTTTAGCTACGTGACAGTACTGTTTGCGATCGTCGTTCGCGGCATAAGTAGCGGTACTTGAGCCTAGTGACATGGAGAACATTTGCATTATCCCTTCATAAATCTGCAAAAAGAAGTGATACGCTCGTTTACACTTTGTTGTACGGTGATCGTATACAAGTATGTTGTCAACTAATTCAGTCATCGTTTCTTATTAATTCTAAACTCAACCTTTGATTCGCATTTCGCTATTATCATGCATCCTAACTGATCGACGATTAGATCAAGATCGCTTGGTGTACGGCAAAATAATTGCTGAAAAAATGGGAATATCGTGCGCATAGTCTTTGGGGTGTCTTTCAACGCAACAGCAACGTGTCCCAACATGATTACTATGTTTTTGGAAATTAACTCGCTATTTGATCTCTCATCGGAATCGCTAAAAGTATTGGAAATAAATCAGAAATCATAAAAGCTAAATATCAAACTTTGAAGGAATTAATTCGAACTTATAAGTCGAGCAGTATAAAGGATTATACCCATCACATTTATCGGCGGCAAATAATCTATTCGAGACACTGGCAACTAATGCCGGCACACAATCTGGATTTACAGAGTGCGCGGCTTCCAAAGCGATGCACAGATTTCCAATAGCTGCATCACGCAACTTTTCAAAAGCTGTTTGTATAGAGGACGTGGTTTGCTTCGAATCTTGTATATCTTTTCCTTGAAAAGAAGCAATTATTCGTTCATACCATCTATGAAATTGTATTTTACAAAAAGGGATAATGTAAGTATAATTGTATTACCTTTTCCATTATGTTGGCGATATAATTTAAGAAGAATCGGTGATGGTACAACCAGAAAATCCCGAAGATAATAAATAGAAGTACTTGCTATATTAGGGAACTTCTGTGCTAACTTTCCTAGTCCTTCCAGACATACCATCAATAAAGGCATATGTGCTAGCACCAGTTTTGGTCCGTGATTGGAGTTAATTTTTTCAACTAAACGACCACACAAACTATCAGCACCTGTAACAAAGTGCATATACATATTCTGTATCTGACAATTTATAGTAAACACGCAGTCATTCATAAGTTTGAATAACTGTTAATTCTAAATATTCTGAACTACTGTTTCGTAGGGATGAAATGCACAAAAATAAGTGATTCGTTTTCGCAATTAACGATTTAAATAAATGGTTAGAATGAAATAAAAAAAAAAAGTTGCAGTCAATGGAATGAAAATTAGGCCAACAAGGTCAACAGGTATATTCGTTAGTTAAAACTGTTGAAAGTTATTTTAGACAGAGGGTAAACAATCGGAATGCAATACAGGCTAAATTCTAATACCCTCGCCGATCAGCATTGAACTGATATCTGCGAATAGCGCAGATAAATCATACTGGTCTCTCACTGTAAAAATAACGTAACAGACCTATACTTCCCAGTGCCACAGAAGAGTTTCAAGAAAACAATATTTTACTATATTAAATAGAATTATTTAAAATAAGGTAGTTACTCGTGTACATACATACAGGTCTTATATTATAATTTCATTTCCACTTACCAGTTTCATCGCCAATTGCCCATACAAGAAGGTCAACGCACGCAGAATTAGCCATCACGTTTACTTTAAATCTATTTACAGTGCGAAAATTAGTGTCCATATCTTCCCTTTCACTTGCGTCGTGTTGCCGTGATTGTAATTCCGTTTGCCCCGATAGGAAAAGACCTTTCACAAATTCTTGTACGTCCCTTGTAAAGGGGGTGGGTAAATCGCGTTGATTTTGCAACAATTCTCGTAAAAGAGCCACCATTACGAGATTCATTGTCTCATTGAATGTACGATACGGAAATATTTGCACCTGACCAGAATTGTATATCTAAACAAGGTACAAACATTCAAGTAAAATGACTGAATACAATAAGTATTACAAAAATATACAGTGCAAAATAGGTAAACTAACTTGTTGAGCTTCTTCATCCAGGAACGTTAAAATTTCTTTAGTAAGTAACTTCTTTGCTAAAGCTAAGACACTTTGAAGATGCACCACGCTAAATTGCATTCCAGCCCTTCTCTCGGAACTTTCATTACATCGCATTTGGGGGAACTGATTAAAGCTGGATCCATATCGACTGAAGAAGTACACAGTTGCATCATAGGGTACTGATGAATACGATTGTAACGAAGGTCGTTTAGCATAGGGTAATTCGTGATCGCCAGTTAATAGATTTGGCGTATTATCTATAGCTGCATGGGGATTTAAATTACCACTTAAGGAACGAGGAATAATTGGCCGGAAATTGGAAAAACTATGTTGCTTCTTATCTGACGTTAAACGTGTTTCTGTGTTTGATGCAGTAAGAGGTGTTTCTGGTCTTGGGAAAATCCGACAAAGGAGCGGGGGATCTGTACATACGAAGCGGCCCATTGAACGAGCTAAACCAATTAATACTGGAACCACACTTTTGCATAACGACACTGAAAAAGGGAATAATATATTTTCAGATATATGAAATTAAATGATATTATTATAAATAGATGGCGGATATTTAAAAAGAACATATTTATAGATTTAAACGTATGGCATTTTATAAATGGTTCTATGTGATCTCATTTTCTAGATTATCATGTGATTGAATATATAAAAATCCATGGTTTACTTCTAAAAATATATAAAGTTAACTTACACTTTGCTTGCATTCCTCTACTTCCATTTTGATCTTTGTACCCTCTTATCAAATTTGTTAAAACTGCTAAGATTTCTACTTGTGTAGAAATGATCTCTTCGCGTGCAGGCTCACACCTAGCTGCGATATCGCTGAACAATGTATTCAAACAAAAACTAAAACGTTCTGCAACAGGAACCCGTTCACTAGGAGAACATCTGACTTCATCCAACCAAACAGCTTTGGGAAGACCACGTAGTAATCTCAAAAGGTAAGGTAAAATACGATCCCGGTGTTGTAGACCAGATTCCAGAAAATATATTCCCAATGCAATAGTTGCATCTTGACCCCTTTGATCCAATCGATATATACCTTGAGCAGATTCTTGTGGGCATAATTTAAACAATTGCATTACCTGAATCAAAATAAAATTATTTAATCATTCAGTTGTTTTTTTATTACAATTAAGAACAATATCAGTATAGTTTTAATACATGCAAATAAAAAAAGGACTAATAACAGTTAAAAATTAAATAAAAGAATGAAGTTAAAATAAGGAATAAAAATATCACCTATAGAACTACTACTTAGCAATAGATTGTAATAAACGAACTTCATGATTTTATTATCTTAAATATATTATATACCAATAGTTCTAAATATATCTTTTTTCTAAAAAATCTGATCTAATAAAAGGAAAAGTTTAAAAATTGTTAATGTCATTTAATCTCTTTTTAATCTGAATAATTTACTATTAATTTAATTCATCTATGTTTCCATGTTTTCATTTTGTTATAAATTAAACATCAGAAAGATAATCGTCTTTTACAAAAAAAATGTAATTGCCATTTTCAGTTAGATTGAAATTAAATTAAAGTAAAATTAACTAAAGTCATTTTAATAAAAATTTATAATAAATATTATGATTTATCAGTTAGAACAATTGTCATTCGTAATTTATCTGCAGTAGATTACGTCTGTAACGCATGACGAATCGTTTTGTATTTGAAACAAAACAATATTAATTAATAGTTATAAATATGCCATTGCCGTAGAAGGAAATTAATAATTAATCTTGGTGTTATATCACAAGATGACATGTCAGGATAACAGCTGACATGTCCTTAGAAATAACCTAATCATCATTGATTAAATGTCAAATTTGTATGTGTATACAAATATTATCAAGTATTTTATTAATTTATTATACATAATGAAGAATTCACACACCTTTTCCCATGGCGTAGGTTTAATTGCTGCAAGACATCTAGCCAAATGTTGGACGGCTTTCGAGAAAAACAGTTTCTCGTCCGCCACCATCTTGCCCACTATCCTTTTGCTTACGATCTGTGTAAATATCGTCTGCTTATTCCACTGACAGCCCATTTCAAGATCGAGATATCGTTCGAGATATCGATTCTTGAAATCGAAATTTAAATGTAAATTGTTGATTGGAATTTTTTAATTTTTGCACTATGTAATATATCAAAGTAAGTAATAGAAATTCTTAAATATTTGAAAATGTAAAATTTGCATGAATAATAAAGATATTTATTATTTACTATAATTAAATATTAATTCAATTTTGTTACTAGTTTAAACAGTTTATAGGATTTCATAATAATATTAGAAACAATGTTGTTTGTGTTCGCAAGATATTAATTATTTATTACAGAGTGTTTTCAAGTCATTAAATACTAAAATTTATTTTTTCAAACACATGTCAAGGAAAAGGTTTTGGTCAAGGTAAACGTGATTAAAACACAAATCACAATATTTAAAAAACGATAATACAAATTTATTTATATCCATTCATCTATTCATATTTAAATGACAACTTTTGATCCATGATAAATAGTATTCCAACTTTTTACAGTGCAAAAGAAGAATCTTTTTTGATAAATTTATTTTATCTGTACCATATCTTTGCAAAAATTTGTTTGAAAACTCTTTACTCCCAGCTTTATTTTTATTTTTAGACATTTCCTCCTTTGCTGCTGTTAATAGCCTGTACAATTCAGAAAGTGCAATTGCAATATAAAAATATTTATTTACTTGTTCCGGTCCTTGTATTATTAAATTTGCTGCTTCCTTAAAACCTAACAGACTTTTTTCATCTTGA